GCAAGAAGTCAACCCTTCAAGAAACGGGGATGTTTGGTAAGGGGATTCGTACCCTGATTCGAATTATGATTCATGATTCGCTACAGTATTTTCTCTCACAAAAAATACACGTAAATCGAAATGGTTCTAATCTCATGATTCTAATCCATGAACCAAACGTCTCATTCGAAAAGGTTCAAGGGGATGAGCCTTCAGGTTGTGCCTAGGGAGAAGAGGCTTCGTCCAATCCTTACGGAGTCGAGGCTTCTCAAGATCAAGAAAGTATTTTAAGGAGTCGAGACTTCATAAGACCAAGTGTTTTAAGAGTCGAGGCTTCACAAGGCTCTAAGAAGTGTTCAAAGAGACGAGGCTTGAGGCTACACGTAGGGTGAAAGGGCTTCACCCGACTCTTACGAAGTTGAGACTACGGGAAGATAATGAATCCGCGAGATTTGCTCCAGAAGTCAAGGTTTGTATTTTAAATGTGAAATTTAAATATAGAAACTGCACTAATTGATTGTAATATCTATCTTTTGAGAAACTATCTCAAAAGATATGGAAAATATCCCAAATTCAAATAAGGAAGGTTTATGGGTGGTGACCTAAGTTATAAATAAGGGATTATAGACTAGAAATTCTCTGAATTCTCACTCTGAGGAAAAAACGTGTAATCTCTTCTCATATTAGTGAAATTCTCTCCTCCACCCCACAGTAAATGTAGCTCTCAAATTGCCGGTGAACAAATATAAATCTTCGCGTGTTCTTATTTTTAATGCATTTAACTTTGTTCTTCTATATTTATATCGCTACACATCGCATTAATTTATCTCAAAATTCGTTAATTCTTTGTTGATGAATTTTTACCGTCAACAAAAACGTAAGATATAATTTTGAGATAGTTTTAAAACATAAGGGATACTTTTAGATTGTCAAAGACATAAGGGTAGAAGTTGGATTTATCTAAAACTGAGGGGATATGTTTTGAATTTTCTCTAAAATCATAGCTTCTCAAAATAGTTCCAACATTCACCAAACGAGTCCATCTCATGCTTTCACAACAACCTCACCTCATTAACCTTTGAGGTTAAAAAAAATAAAAATAAAAATAAAAAATAAAAAATAAAAACTCACCTCATCAACCTCTACATTAGAGGTAGGGCTGGCAATCCGGGTAGCGACACGATGACACGACTCAAAACTCGCACAAAATTAGCGGGTTTGAGTTTAACATAAATAGGTCCGGGTCAAAATCAGGTCGAACCCGTGAAACACGATTAAATAACGTGTCATTTTCAGGTTGACCCGCCAACCCGTAAATGACCCGCCATAACCCGTTTATTAAACGTGTCATATTTGGGTAACACAAATACACAACCTGTTATTACCCGTTTACTACCCATTTTATAAACAGGTTCAGAAATAGGTTAACACAACTCATTTATCACATATTTTATAAACATGTTCAGAAATAGGTTAACACGACCCATTTATCACCTATTTTATAAACGGGTTGACAGGTAATCAACAGGTTGAGGTGACACATTTATGACATGTTTAATAAAAGGGTTATTCTTGTCGTGTCGTGTCAACCTACCAATATACATGTCGTGTTTGAGTTTTATATTTTGACACGATTAATAAACGGGTCGTGTTCGTGTCAGACCTATTCGTGTCAACTGAAGAGAACATAACACGAACACGACCCGCCAGCATGAATTGCCACCCCTTAGGCTACAATGCCACCAAAAGCACTCACTGATCTCCTCTCACACCAAGTCTATAAGCTTCAAGTATATCATCACGTGATGCTACACCACAAGGATTTGTATGCTTTACAATTACACATGTAGGCTCCTCAAACCCTGTCACACAATTCCATGCTGCCTCAGCATCTAGGTAGTTATTGTATGACATCTCCAGCATGCATTACCCCAAAATAGATAAAAGCTCGAAATTAACCCATGAAAAATACCACTAATGTTCTAATAAGATGCAAAATAAAACAAGTAACACATTCTATTGTTCTAGTTACTTGTGGAATTTAAAGGTTATCATACACACACACACATATATAACCTAAATTTCCATCATAAACTATTCAACAGAATGGTGGACCAAAGAAAGTTTCATGTTTTCTTAATTGTATTCTTAATTCACGGCATTTTGTAGACTATATATGACTTGGTAGTAGTAATTGAATATGCCTTTTTTTTCAGTAAATAGCAAAAATATTTTACATTTTTTAAATTACAAACAGCTTGTATGAACAAAGTTGTATTTATCACTCACCTTGCCATGGTTCACAAAGAATTGTATTAACATTATAACGTGCAGCTTTCTGATGAGGATTTTCACTGTAAGAAAGGAAATTCTCACGTTTAAGATCTACCATTAAATAGGGAGGGAATTTCTCTGTATATAACACATAAAAAAGTCTTGTCAATTTCAACATGAACAAACAATATTTAAGAGGCCTCATCACTTTATTGTATAAGAAATCATTTAATATCTAGAACTCAATAAAGATATTCATTTTTGTTTCTTGAATAGAAAAATTGACTATGATCACATGATTTTAATTTGTTACATTTTCTAAGTATGAACCAACAATCAAGCAAATAAATACCTCCAGCTGAGTGTGCAGAATCATAAGCAATGGCATATCTCTTAGCCTTGTCTGCAAGCTTACTCGGAAATTGATGATCATCTTGATTGCTCCTAAGAAATTCCAGAACTGAAGAATAGTCCTCAGGATTAACAACTACCAGGACTTTCTCTTGATTCTGTTTCAATTTACCAAATACACTTTTCAACTGTGAATATTAAATTCATAGAAGACCATATACATAGAGATTGACACAAAATATTTGATCAAATTAATGGTCTTGATCACCAAGGTGTTGTACTTTAAAGCCTCGTTCATTTCACCGATTCGAGTTTTCAATTTTAGGTTTTTACAGTAAAAAGCTCTCAGAAAATGTCACATCTAACTTTTTCTGTTATAGTGAAAAATTCTCAGAAAATGTCACATCTCAACTCGAATCCGCGAAATAAACAAGGCCTAAGCATTCTAATGAGTTTTCATCAAGGTAATCATGTATAAAACAAAAGTCAAGGTGCCCACATGATCCAATAACCAAACAATCGTAATTAAGTATATTCTACAACTGTTTGAAATACGAGCTTTCTAAGGTAATTAGTAGTACATTTTCAAATTATTAGATCTAATCAAGATCACATAAAAATGAAAAAGATTAAAAAAAAAAAACTTAAAAATATTTTATGTTACCAAAGAATTCTTAAAACATTATTTAGCTAAAAGAAAAAGGTAATAGCAAAATAAATAAAGAATTCTGATAACATTAATAGGATTAGGATGAGTTGGATAAATAAATAACCATCACAGCCTTAACAGCAGCTCTTATCATGGGATGAACACCAATATCACTTTCAGAATTATACAAATTCACCACCACAATATCAATAGGGCCTGGAAATTAATAATAATTACACCTCACAAAATTAGAAATAAAGTAAGAATGTGTATGACAAAAGAAGATTTATAGCATAAATTACCAATTCCAAGTTTATCAAGAGCTTCCATTCCATGTCTTTTTATCTCCTGTAGCGAGAATAGCGCCATGTATGGCTGGATGAAAGGTTTTAACTCGACCACCAAATTGTAATATACAGAAAAACTAAGTCATCGTTCATTTCACCGATTCGAGTTTTCAGTTTTAGGTTTCTGCAGTAAAAAACTCTCAGAAAATGTCACATTTAACTTTTTCTGCTACAGTGCAAAGCTCTAAGAAAATGTCACATCTCAGCTCGAATTGAAAACTCGAATCTGCGAAGTAGACGAGGTGTAAAAGTTTTAATGTCACACTTAAATTACTAGAGTTCAAATAATTGCCAGAGAAACCAGATAAAGTAAGCAAAAAGAATGTGAAATAACAGTTTTGAAACTATGGTGATACAAATTTAAACAAAAACAAAAAAAAAAGGTGTTATAAGATCAAAAAGAACACCACAATACTTTTGTAACTGCCCTTGAGAGCATTCCATGAACCCTAAAACTGTAATAGTGGCATATTTAGTAAATATCAGTAACTAGTTATTGAACAAAAAAATATGCCTAGCTAAGATACAAGAGAAGAATTGGCTTAGAACCATCTCAGGGAAACCCGTAATAGCTTCCACTTTTGTGACAGAAACTCCAGCACTTTCCAAAACGGATGCTGTTCCTCCAGTTGAAATGATTGTATATCTACAATCAATAAGAGAAGCATCATAATATTAATTCTAAAACAATTTATATACCATACAAATATTGAACAGTATGAGTTACATGAACTAATTAAAGGACAGAGAAACGCACTAATTAAAGAACAGTAATGGAGAAATGCCAGCGTGACTTTTTCTGTCACTCTTTTTATCACTCTATGTATTCACTGTTTGACACCTGGTAATATTACTCTCAAACTTTCTATAAACTGCTGGTAAATAATATTCTATAATTATTCAGAGCAAAAAAAATAATATTCTATAATTATGTTAGATATCCCAACTTTTGAATACAATTTTTACGTGAAAATTTTTTTTTTTTAGTACAATTTATGTGATAAATGTTTAAGATATTAGAGATTTTGCCGTCAGTTTAATTTAATTTTAAATGGTAAGTTATCCGTTTTTAAACTCAAAACATATTAAACATAAACATGTTGGCACACCTTACATGTTGAGTATAAAATAGTAGAATCAAACTCTAGAGCATAAAGAGTAAATTTTCCCTTTTTATTTTATATTTCGCATTTGAATCTATCACAAAAGTATTTCTGTTTTTAAAATTACAAAAAAAAAAAAAAAAAAAAAAAGTACTTTGGACTTATACAAAAAAATAAAAAAAATAAAAAAATAAATTTAAATTAAATTAAATTAAATTAATTAAATTTAAAAATTACAAATAAAAATAAAAATTCAGAGAGAGAGAGAGAAGAAGAAGAAGAAGAATATTAGCCTCCACAAATGTCTTAAATTTAAATATGAAGCAAATTGAATGGTGCCGGAAAAAGCTACTTGGAAACTCTTCTTTCAATTTGGTTGAAAATCCGAAACAAATTGCATATACTAGTTGAGTTTATTACAAAACTGAGGCAATTGATGCATAGCTATGAAGCTCTAATGCCTATGCATCCATTCAGATTGCAACTGTCGAGGCTTTCAAGTCACGGTTCTGATATATAAAGAGCACAAAGGGTGAGGCTAAAAAAAGGCAAGAAATCAATGCCTGAAGTGCCTGACATTGGTGAAGAGAAGCGACACGCCATACTTGTTGCAGCACTCTACGGCATCTTTATCTCGAATGCTCCCTCCGGGCTCTGCTATAACACCGACTCCGCTCACACATGCTTCTTCCACAGCATCTTTCCAAGCTGATCATAGAACAAACCTCATTCATATTAATACAAACAGCTTTTAAACTACATTTAAATCCATCTGTAGCTTACTTTTACTATAAGAATTTTGATGTCGAGGGGAGCTGAAATTCCACCGTTGCATGAATGTTCAGGTTTTTCAACAAATATAATATCAAATGTTCAACTTGGTTTTATTAATGTATCAAATGTTCAACTTGGTTTTATTAATGTTTAATTGTGACAAAGCTAATTTTGTCGACTAAAATTTTAAGTAAGCCGGTAATTACCAAATGGGAAGAAGGCATCACTGGCCAAAGCTGCTCCCTTGACTTCATCTCCCGCTTTCTTCAAGGCTATTCGTAAACTCTCCCGACGGTTTGGCTGCCCACTTCCCATGCCCAACATACAGTTGTTCTGCCCAAACACGACAATGAGAATTTATCTAGGATTGACTAATTCATTGCACTAAATCGAATAATATAAACACAAAATTAGTTAGAACAATGGAAAACAAGAAAAGGTTTAGAACCTTTGCTATCACAATGGCATTGCTCTTCACATGCTTGACGCACAACCATGCAAACTCTGCATCGCGAAGCTCACTTTCTTGCGGAGCCTTCTCCGAAACACAATTAAATTGGATATCTTCGGGGGTTACGTCATCTGACTCCTGGGCTAACCAACCACCCCCAACTTGTCTAAGAGAAAGCTTTCCTTTCTCATTTTTCCTTGCTTCAAGGATCCTTAATGTCTTTGATTTTCCACGAAGGATCTCAAGCCCTTTTTCTGTATACTTGGGTGCAACCACAATCTCATAGAACATACGAGTTTCGCCATCTGTTGGGCTTCTAAACTCTCGGATTTCCCTAGCAAGAGCCTTAAACAGAAAAGTGCATCACAAAAGGTAGTCAGAAAAAATTGACAACAATAGCTTTCAAAAATAGTTCCAATCATCAATCGAATTTTCTGATCTACAGTAACCAATGAGGAGAATTTGGATTAGCCCTTGGGGTGTAGACTTAAGTTGTAAAGCCTAATGCATGGGATTCAAAGATTGCACTCACCTCATCAACCTCTATGTTGAAGGCTACAATACCACCAAATGCGCTCACCGGATCTGCTTTCACAGAAAGCCTATATGCTTCAAGTATGTCATCACGCGAAGCTACACCACATGGATTTGTATGCTTTACAACTACACATGTAGGCCTTCTAAACTCGGCTACACAATTCCAAGCTGCATCAGCATCTAAATAGTTATTGTATGACATCTCCTGCACCCAAAATGTAATAGGTCAAAAGCATGTGAGATAAAGTGATGTATTACGCCATCAAGGATTGGTGAAGAGTGAACACCACTAGCAATTCAGATTTTGAAAACCCCTAATATGTAGACTTGGCAAAGGTTTCTTTAACTACTGGAATTTAGTAGTTAAAGAAACTTTGCCAAAAAAAAAAAAACACAAAAAACACAAAAATAAAAAAAAAAACAAAAAACTTGTTCACTAACATAAGCTGACAAAAAGATGAAATATGAACGCAGATGCACAAATAACTCACCTTCCCGTGGTGTTGAATAGCAGTTGCAATACCACCACCATCAACTTCAGCAAGACTCTTATCAACATAAAATGCGGCCTTTTGATGAGGATTTTCTCCATATCGCAGAGAACTTTTAAGTGACATGGGAACTGTTAAACTAGGAGGGAATTTATCTATGACACGTAAAGAAGGTGTTAGTATCAACATAAGAGGCTCTCAGGCTCTAGGAAAATAGAAATAAACCATGAGACTGCACTGCATTCGTTTCAGTAGAACTATCTCAAAGTACCTTCTTCTTTTGTTTTATAATGGCACCCTCTTTAAATTTGTCTTCTTGATTTCACAAAAGGAAAAGGGAAAAAGAATGAAATGAAGACATAATGATTACTCCATCATGATTTTATTAATTCACATTCATTTGGTTACTTCTTTCTACAATTTGCCTTGTTCAGGTACATTTTAGCTAAGCACAAAAGACGAAAATAAATACCCTCTGATGACTGCTTCCATAACCACTCTGCCACTGCAGCATCATAAGAAGCAACATGTTGAAAAGCCTTCCACGCAAGCCTTCTACGAAATTGTTGATCGTCCTGGTTTCCTTTAAGAAACTCCATAAGCTCTGGATAGTCTTGTGAATCAACAACAACCAATACATCCTTGTGATTCTGTTTTCATTAAACAAGCATACTTTGGTTCCGAAACTAGACAATTGAAATACAATACAGAATCAGAGTCGAGATATTCTAGTGTTTTTAACCACAAAACTCCAATATAGTTTATAAAGTTTTCTCAAAAGCATTAGATGGCAAAAAAGAATTTAAAAACATTATGGTGACCATGGACCAAATTCTCAAACAATCGTAACATGATATATGTTGGAGACCTGGTAGCTAATTAGTGGTTAGTAGTCTTTTAGGAGTATAAATAGGGGGTTTAGTGACTGCAGGGAGCTGATGATCAGATTTGTGAGAAGTGTTTAGGTGTTGTGCACTAGGGGGTCCTCAAAACCACCCATACTATCTTGCATTTTCCATTTTCAGTGCTGTTAATGAAGTTGAGTTTTCCAGGTTCCCAAGAATATCATTGCAGATAGATGAACACACCTTGGCAGCCGCTCTGATCATGGCCGGACCACCAATATCAATGTTCTCAATTCCATCTTCAAACTCAATTTCTTTAGATGAAGTGACTTTATCATAAAACGGGTACAAGTTCACCACCACAACGTCAAATGTGCCTACAAAAGAACAACTTAAAAAGTCAACTCTATTAACAAATCTGCAGACAATCGGGGCATGTTTTGTGTAGTGGTTCTCACCAATTCCATGCTCATTGAGAGCTTCAATATGATGCTTTTGGTCTCTTCTAGCCAAAATTCCCCCATGAACGTTAGGATGTAAAGTTTTTACACGACCATCAAGCTGTAATACAAAGCTAGAGTTATGTCTGCATTTCATATTTCAAAATAAGGATAACAATTTAAACAGCAACCTTAATATCAAAGTTACATCATAAATAAGAGATTTCATGCAAAGAAAAATTTATGCTCTCATATGAGGTGGGAATTGCTGCAACATACTTTAAAGGCAAGTCTTGATGAGGTTTTATAGCCACCAAATGTTTCGTGATTGTATTTGCATTAGTCAAGTGGAAGGTCCAAACAACTTAAGAAAGACAACATTTGAGAAGTTAGTTGGAACTACATATAGGGGATGTCTCTGAAATAGGAGCTTCTTGCAAACACAAGGCTAAGTACCACGACCCACCAGACAGATTTTCTATTTACTTTAATCATATGCTCCTATGTAAGTAGAAATTATTTTTTTCATTTTCTATTAAACAGATAAAATCATAAACCACTAATGAACATAGAAAAGAAAAAAAGGCACCACAAGCTTCTGGGTAAAAGATACAGCAGCAAAGCATTGAATAAGACATGAAAACCACACGTAAATGACTTGCAAATCGAGTTCTTCTGCCACCATTATCAGTGACTCGAGAAATGATGAGGAGAAAATTTTTTTTTGACTGGCAGGAGTTAAAAAATTGGAGCGAGACAAGCATAAACTAAGCATCTTATGTAATCTACAAGAGCTACAAGTTCATTAAAAATAGTGGAGAAACCGATTAAATATACCAAAAGAATCTGAAATAATAACTTAAACCATAATATTCAAGGAAAAATGTGATCGACAATTACTTTACCAGTAAGCTTACAAATCCACATATGAAACAATAGTCAGCATCTCAGATGGAAGAGAAGTTGACGAACTGACTCACCATCTCAGGAAAATGAGTAAGTTCTTCAACCTTTGTAACAGATACCCCAGCACTTTCCAAAGCAGACGCTGTTCCTCCAGTGGAAACAATTGTATAACTGCAGTTAACAAGAGCGGCCATCACAACATCCTCTAAAGTTGAAAACCTTAAAACCATTAAAGTTTCTCATCTGTATTATGTTTATTCTTGCATGCAACCAATAAGAATATACTAATGTAAATGAACACCAAATTCACGGTCATTGAAAGGAAACAGAGACAATAATGCAAACAAAGAACTATGTAACAAACTGCTTTGTGCAACAAGAATATACAATTGCATAAGCTTAATGCAAGTATGGTTCCCAAGAATTAACCCCAAGTTCTGAAGTCCATTTCCTAATAAAGCGAGATCTTTCTTGTCTGATAGTGATATTAGTGCCTGCTTTTTGTTCCCTGAAACGTGGAAGAACTTATAACCACAATATTCTGAATTTGCACTTTTTCTATATAGTTTATAAGAAGCTGAATTTAATAGAAACTGAAATCCAGTACAATAAAAGGAGGACAAAGAATCCTCAAAAGAAAGTAACTAAACTACGATCAGAAACCATAACAACTACGAACAGCAACACTAATAACAATCAATCACATCTGTCCAAAGGAAAATAATCAAAGGAAAATAATTCATTCAAAGTTTTGTCAGTAGAAGCCCACAAAGAAATTAAGAGCCCGTTTAGTTCGCTGATTTGAGTTTTTAATTCGAGTTGAGATGTGACTTTATGTGAGAGCTTTTTACTGTAACAAAAAAGTTAGATGTGACTGTTTCTGAGAGTTTTTTTACTGTAGCAAAACTCAAATTATAAACTCGAATCGGTGAAATGAATGGGGCCTAAATATTTTAAGTCTTTCAAACATAGAAAAAAGATACAAAACGACAAATAGAAAGCATAATATAAGAAGTCTACAAAAATATCGATAACTCAAACACATCAATAAATAGAACAACATGAAGAAAGGGAGAGAAAGGGATTTAAAGGGGATGCGAAAGCTGCCCCATTTTTCTGAAGCCTGACATTCAATTAAAGTAAAGATTGAAATTAAACATTGAGTAAGAGCAAGACTCTAAATGTGAACTAGAATACAAGTTTGTATGGTCTAATGAAGCCACCGGGGGATGGGGCTTGGGGAGAGGTTGCAGGTCCGATCCCGTGTTGTAAAAAAGATAAAAAAAGAAATAGAATACAAGTTTGAAAGCTGAGTATGAGTAACCCGTTTCCATTTCAAGAAAACAAGCTTTGTGGTAAGACCCCAAAAAAGGGTTTTACTTTATTGCAACAGAAATCAAAGAAAGAACAAAATGACCTAAATGAAAGCGCACACTAAAATGAAAATTGAAGCCGAGAAAGCATACCAGATGAAGAGGATTGAGAGTCAGACTCTGCCATGGTTTTGATTGAGTTACAAACCGAACGCGTCGAGTATGACAACTTAATCGAACAAGACTGCATTGCAAAAAGAATGTGAAATTCTCAACTATTATTACTCTAAATACATATATATACATATATATATATATATATAAACAAGTTAAAAACATAAGGGAATTATGCTGCCTTACCGTAAGAGACCAAGGACAAGGGCAAATAGTTCTTCTTTGGGAATTAGAAAACAGCCCAGGAAGACTTGTGTTCGGTATACAAGAGTTTGCAACTTGCACTGTATTGGTGGTGGGAGCAGCCGTCAAACTAATCATCTTTATTTGTGACAATAAACTGTTATTATTCAGAAAAAACACAAAATATGAACAAAGTTTTCATAAAACAAAAAAAAACAAAAAACAAAACAAAAAAAGGGCAATCCTTCAGAAAAAACAAATGGGCAATATCAAATTCATCTATATAAAAGCAGAGAGAGAGAGAGAGAGAGAGAGGAGACTCACCGCTTGTAGCTTTTGATAGCGAACGGTGGCAAAAGGAAAAACAAAGACAAGTTAAAGGTGGAAGAGCACAAAGTGAGACTGTAAGAGCACACCCTGTATTAATCTCGTATTGTAAGGTTTTTATTTTGTTGACAAAACTACCCTGAAGCTTTAAAATTATTATAAAACATGCTTTACCTTTTTAGGGTAATAAAATAAAATCTAAATATTTGAGTTTTCAAAATATATATAGGGATGGTCTCTCATCCGGCATATGAAATATGCCTGACTAGTCCGCTCAGTAATTACAACCGTCGGATTGAAATTTGGACGGTATAGATAAAAAGTTTATTTCTCAAACGACCTCTCTCTTTCTCAAAAGCACGAGCACTCCCAAACCCACTTCTCTCTCGACCTCCCTCGACCTTCCTCGAGCTTCATCGACCTCCTTAGCAGCCACCTCGCCGCCGGCGGCTTCCTCCAAATGCGCCCGGGGATCGCCGCCTCGGGTGGGGATGGGCTTCACATGGCGAGGATCGGTGGCTTGACTGAGGAAGGCTTACCGGCGGCTGGGAGGGATCTTCGGTGCTCACCATGGTTTCTCCTCAGCTTCGAGTTGCAGAGAGAGAAGCCATGGATGACCCACCTTGCTTTTGTAGCTTGTCTCTCTCTCTCTCTGCCAAAGTTGAAGAGACCCAAGTACCTTTTCTATTAGACTTCCAAGTAAGTTCTTCATTATATTTCGTATGAACTTTTTCTGGGTCTGGCTAAAAATTCTTGAAAATTAATTGAAAAAGAAAAAAATGAATCTTTTTTTGTGTGGTTAGGTGGAAGAGAGTAAGTTCATGTTTGAAGTGAAAACGATTAAGAGAATGGAGCTCCTGGTGCTCTCAACACTCGAATGGAAGATGAACCCAGTTACTCCAATTTCGTTTCTTGATTATATCATTAGGAGGCTTGGCTTAAAAGACCATCTCTGTTGGGAATTTCTCAAGACATGTGAGAATATTATTCTCTCTCTCATATCAGGTGAGATTTGAGAAGATATTGGAGATTAATTTCCTTTAATATTAATCATAATTATAAATTTATCTCATTCATGTTCTCAACCATTACACTTTAATATAATGAAAGAGAGTAGGATAGTTCTGATTGATTTCCATTTGAAGTAGATGTCAACGTTATGTATGTGTTTTGGGTTCAATAAGTTTGTTGTTTAAGTGTTTGCTAAATTGTTTTAGTGAGTGTTCATTTGTTATTTTTTAGCATTCAATTGTTTTGAAACAAAATGATGAAAGAAAAAGGTTAAAAAGGATACTATTACATGTTTTTAAAAATTAAACCACCAAACGCAGTTTCAGTTTTTTTTTAAACAGAAAACAATCTAAGAATAAATTTACCAAACGCATTTTCAGAAATGATTCTAAAATAGAAATGAAAACGTTTTCATTTTCATTTTCATACAGAAAATAAAATCATTTTGAAACGAGTTCCAAACGCATACATTGTTTTATGTTCTTTTCTTGAATGAATCTTGATCGAGAATCTGTGTTGATTGGAAATGAGAAAGAAATCGCCTTTGTAAAGGCTCTGTTGTGATCGACATTCAACGTTCTTGTTATTAATTAGGTTTTACTTTGGATCTAATTTCTGTGGAGCTTTTGGATCAATTGACCCATAACTTTCCTTTAAGTCCCAAGATTTTGAGCTTAAGAAATATATATAGATATATATTTATTTATTTATTTTATGGGTCAGAATTTAAGGTTGTGGTACTTTAAGAGTCTTGTGCTTTCTTAGATTTGCATATATAAGAAAAGACGATGGGATCTCAAGCAACTTGTTGGCTCTGGCTGAAAAAAAGCCCGCCGAGCTGTTGAAGCTGGCGTTAAGTGCAAGTGAGAGTTATGGCCACGTTTTGCAATGGCTTCTTTATGTTTCACATTGCCATTGGATCTGAGGCATAGTAAACCTCTAGTTTCCATCAGTTTTTTTATCCTACTTTCTTTTTTTATTCCCTCGCCATTAGTTTTGTTTTCGTTCATTTTTAAATTTTGAATCTATGATGCTGGTTGTAGATTTGATGATATACTAATATTCTAAATTTTGACTAGTTTTTTTGGTATTGTATAATTTTCAAGACATACTTAATCAGTTGATATTTCTCACCCTAGTACCAGTTTTTGTTTGCAATTACCGAAATGACACATAGTTTCTTCTCAGGCAACATGAGAATTTCTTGTTCTACTTTCAGTTTTTTAACCCTGATTCTTGTTCTATGTTATTGAAATGAATGGCTGAAAAGAGAATTTCTCATTTTCATTTTTTATATTAGGCTTTGGAAAATAGTTTTATCTATGTAATAGAAAGCACAAAATGAATCACTGTGCACACTCGCTTTCAACCAAAACGACATCGTTTTGGTTGAAAATTTTTGACCAACATGTGGTCGTTTTGGCAGGAAAGGGAGTGTCATTTTTTTTTTTCAATTGAGTTTTGATGTCCCCGCTCTCTTCCACTTTCCCTTCTTCCTCTGATTGGTTTCTCCGACGGTGGTCTACAGTAATTTGGTGAACCAGTTCCTCATACACTTGCTGAAGGCATGAAATAGTATGGTTTTTACTTGAAATCGTCATATAGATGTTATGGTCGTAGATTGTCCAATTCACTTATTGCTTTGGCTCTTTTTGTTAAACAAATATGAGAAACAATCATCATGCATATAGCCTTTGTCATTGATCACGTCTATGTTTTTAGGGATTTATTTCTTAATCTTTCAATGCGAGGTTTTGATTTTTTGATTTATTTATTTTTTACTAGCTCCCACAAACTTTCATTGTGACATTTAGACTGATACGTATTTAGATATTGATAAATTCCTTGTAGTTGTTGTCCTTTTATCATAAAGAAGGCATTCTGATCTTGTAAAACTTGAAAGTAGTAATTGCAATATTAGATTAAACTTGGTATTTTATAAATAATTAAATCTGTTTATAATTCCTCTATTTTCAATCATCTCCCGTGATAGACACATAGTTAATATTTGTAAATCTTACAGTTTCGCATTGACAAACTCATGAGCCAATGCTCATGGTCTAAGTATTACAACCTTCGGCTACAGAAACTCTTTGAATCATTAACAAAGCTGATGATTTGAAAGAAGTCAGGAAATTTAAATAACAACAATTAAAAAATTCGCTGCTTTAAATATTTGAAATCTAAATCTTCAACGATTTAAAAATTAAGTACATCCATTACTATTAATGCAAACAAAAAAAAAAAAAAAAAACTTTCGCGACTCCAAAATCCAAATACAAGTAAAAAATAAGTGACATCGATATTCATTGCATTCACGATCATCTAAGTTAAAATGACGATTATGCTTGTGGTCGTTTGTAGTATCTACTTCTTAGAAAAATAAAATATTCTGAAAATCTAATATTCAGACAGTCAGCATGCTTTTTTGAGTATTCAAGCAAACTACAATGCAACTTCTATTGAACTTAGATCTTGGTTTCTGTTTGGCTTATGCAAATATACATCTTGGTTTCTGTTTGGGTTCTGCTACTCCATGTGCACGTTTACATATTTTCTAACTCATGGGATTTTACAATTTTACGCCTTCACAGATTAATACACTGTATTCTCCCCTGTAATAATTCTAACTTCATCCTCATTATTCTTTTCATATTCAATCTCCTATTTGTGTCTCCCTACTAATTCTTTCCAACCTGTTAGAACGACAACAATATTCAACCTCCAAATGACTAAATACTTTTTCAAGCAAAAGTAACTTCCAAAACAAATTCAATAACATGAACTACCACAACTCAATCAATATACATAATACTATGTTATATGTTCACTTAATTTAAATAAGAAATACATGTATATTGCCGTTTCCTATAGCATAATGTTAAAAAAAAAAAAAAAAAAAAAAAAAAAAAAAAAAACTTCAAACACACGTC